CCCCAGTATTTTTAACACAACATTACAAAAAGAACCAGATATTTCTTTCTTTCTTATTATTTTTTTAAATTCCGGTATTGTAAAAGATGAAGATACTGTGGCAGTGATTGGGGGCTCTGTGTGATAAAACTAGCAGCAAGGAGTGCTAAAGACCTTGAGAAATTTCATATGAAACTGTTTTGTCCTTTACCGTGGGTGATGCTCCTTTGTTTATTTTTGCAAACTCAATGATGAAAGTGTGGGTAGTTAATTAGCTTTCTGTTTGTAGACTTACAAGGACTTTGTGCTGTTGGAGGGAGAAAAAAATTGAAAAATTAGCACACAATTTGTCGGTGTGATTGCCACTACTGTGACACACCACAATAGAAAGCAGGGACTTGAGGGACTGCTCTTGTACCTGGGCAGGTATTCTTCTATGCCTACTTGACTGCTTGTGAACTTTTTCAGTCTTACATTTTTTGCTAGGAATATTTTAGGATTGATCTGTGTTCAGGAGCAAATCATTTGGAAAAATTGGTGTTAAAATGGGCTCATCTATTTTCAAGAAGGAAGTGACAGAAAGAACACTTTTTTTAGCCTTGCATGGAAATACTGTCCAAACCTTGAGTTTGTAGATGACAAACCAGAGGCATGCAGTTTGTTTGCTCATTTAGTGTGTCATAGAGAGTGTAGATATTATATAGGGAGAATCTGCACGTTTCACATTTTTTCATGTTATTTAAAAAAAAATAATTAAAAAAAACAAACATCAAAATATATTCAGAGAGCATTAGGGTTCCACTAGCTTTGGAAAAAGTAGTGAGGAAATAACCAAGAAATCAAACGTCTGTTACTGTAGGTTGTATATATATGACAAATTATTCCATAACAGTTCTTTACTCAGAGGAGCAGCCTCCACTCCAAGCAAAAAATCTTTAAAAACTGCTGGAGGAGGGTTCATCATTCTGGGTTCTTCTGCTATTTCACATAGTTTGTAGAAGATGGGCAAATCTGATTATGAGTGGGTCTACATTTTCTGTGTAAGCCCTGGATTTTCTGGAAAAGCTAGAACAATTTAGGTTGAGTAGGAAAGGTATCGATTACAGTGGTGGTGACTCACCTCATTAACTGCATCTTGCCAGTGGCCTCACACCATGTGAAGTTTTTTTTAATTTATTTTTCTATGGCTGGCCAGTCGTTTGTCATGTTGACAGGCGATGGCCTTCTGAGAACACTAGCTACTATTATGGGATCACTGAGGCTGAACAGAAAAGGAGAAAATAGCAGGAAATATAAAACTGCTACTCTGTCTCAAAACCAGGTAGGTGGAAAAAATGGTCATTGTGAATCTGTTTGAGCATAAGGTGATAACTATTCTTTTGGTGTTAAGCAACTTCATCTACCTCAGCTTCAAAGAAAAGCCTAAAGCAATGGGAATACATTTCCTAACAGGTGGGTAGGAAATAGATGTTCTCAGACTGTTGATTACCCTTGAATTAAGCATACAGATCTGGAGAAAATATGGAATACCTAGCAAACAGCGCAGAGGATGTGCAAACCATTCCTCTACCTAGATCCAGCAATACTTTATATTGTGAAAACCATCTGTTTTCAGAAGATCTCAAATGTGCTGTTAGTGTTTAGTGGAAATGTGTCATGGTTGAGGGTTTCTGTTAGGTCCTCTGGAAGCACTCATGAAATGTGGAATGTGAAAATTAGCCAAAGAAGATCTTTTTGGGAAGGTGAATTATGTGGAGACTCAGTCAGGCCTAATCTACAGGAAGATTAAGAAGAAATTTTCATGAAAATTTACAGATAAAGCATCTGTGTTTTGATCTGAAAGTGGAGGATCTTGTAAAGGATTCAGTCATATCTCCACCACCTTAAAAGTATAGATTTAACTTCTTATTTGAGAAAGGACATAAATAGTTTATAGATAGGCAAAACTACTTTGCAGGGATAGAACCAGACACAAGGAAAAGCAAAGCCAATGTGAGGTTAACCCTAAAAGTTGAAGGTGTTGTAGGAGATGGCAGTGAAGTTTTCATTATGATTGAATATTAATTAGTGACATGGCTATTAATGATGACAGTAATTAACAGAGGAAGGAAAGACTTGTCATTGTCCCGAGGGTGAGTAATCAGTCTTGGCAGGTGATAAATAATGGTTCAGCAAACTCAGCAGAAAGATAATCTGTCTGCCTCAGGACAACTGGAGAACAGCTATAAAATCTTCCAGGCTCTTGGCAACATTCAGGAATGACTTCATGTTTTTAAGAGACAAATTAAAATCCTTGATCTCTAATGTTGCTTATATTCTGGAGTGACTGATCACAGTAGTTCTGACTGAGTCAAACCTTTATTTGTTAATCTTAACAGCGACAAGAAAGATTGGTGTAGCAGCTTTCAGCATTGTTTAAATGCTTGATTGCAGTTTGATTAAAATTGAATAAATTCAAGTAGAATATGATCATTCTATGGAGAGTTAATCTTTGTTAAGTATCCTGTATATTTGGAAAGGGACTGATTGGAATTCACCTCCCTTCAGCAAGACAATGAATTAACTACTCTAAAAGATGTTCAGATATGAGCTGTCGCATCATTTGGGAATGAAATGACTAAGAGAGTACTGCAGACCTGTAGTCTGAGACCAAAATCAGGGAAACCAGTGGACTTATTAGTTTGGGATATGAAAAACAAACAAACAAACAAACAAAAAAAAAAAAAAAAAAAAAAAAAAACCAAGAACGATTCTGGTTTACCTTCAGCCAAGACAGCAAATTGTGATGTTTTGTTTCCAACGATACAGAAGGCTTCGATTTCAGTCTTCTTGAAATGATTTTCTAACCCCAAGTGTTTGTTGTACCTTTAGGCTATTTTTGTTTTGCAGAAGGCAGCATCCATGTTTATAAAGTTGAAAGTTTTATTAACAAGTATGTCAAAACAACAGTTATGAACTCCAAACATTTTCCTATGTATTTTTCAGCTAGCACTGTGTCTGCCAATAAAATCCCAAGCAAATCTTCTGTGTATTGAATGCACAGAATGTTGTCCATGGACAAATCAGAGCTCACTAAAAATGTGGCTTATTGCACTAGAGAATAAAGTGCCACATTTTATGGGTGAGAGTCAATTCTAGAGGCATTCTAATGTTCAATCATGTACAGTAATTTTAGTGAAAAGATTGCCAGTTTCTTTCCTATTTATTATATATGCACGCTTAGTTTATGCAGGGTATGCAGAAATGAGCTAAAGCAGTACTCAGCTAGGACTCTGAAATTTGTAAGGCTGTAAATTAGTCAAAATGTGTTTTACTGGGGTTCTGTTGTGTGACTGGCTGTGGGTCAACTGAGTTCCTGAGTGCCAGGGGACGAAGAAGGGATCAGTAGGCACAAAGACAAGCTGCTGCTTGTCTTTGAAACAAACTAAATTTTTAGCTCTTTGTTTGGCTGATAACTCAGTTCCACGTTTCTGTATGATTGTCCTGACATTAAAGATGCCAGGTGCCAATAAATGATCCTTCATCTCCTTGCTGGATAGTACTTTCAGAAACAAAACTCCCTATATCACAGAATCACAGAATGGCCTGGATTGGAAGGAAACCTCAAGGATCATGAATCTCCCTGCCACATACAGGGCCACCAACCTCTACATTTAATACTAGACCACGTTGCCCAGGGCCCCATCCAACCTGGCCTTGAACATCTCTAGGAATGAGGCATCCACAACCTCTCTGGGCAGCCTGTTCCAGTACCTCACGACTCTCAGAATAAAGAACTTCCCCCTGACATCCAATCTAGATCTTCCCTCCCTGAACTTAAAACCATTTCCCCTTGTCCTGTAGTTATCTACCCCTTCAAAGAGTTGATTCCCCTCCTGTTTGTAGGCTCCCTTTAGGTATTGAAAGACTGTAATGAGGTCACCCTGCAGCCTTCTTTTCTCCAGGCTGAACAAGCCCGGCTCCCTCAGCCTGTCTTTGTAATGAAGGTGCTCCAGCCCCCTCATCTCTGTGGCTCTTCTCTGGACCTTCTCCAACAGCTCTCTGTCTTTCTTGTATGGGGGCTCCAGACCTGGACACAGTACTCCAGATGGGGGCTCACAAGAGCAGAGTAGAGGGGGACAATCTCCTCCCTGTCCCTGCTGGCCACCCCTCTTCTGATGGAGCCCAGGATACCATTTGCTTTCTCAGATGCAAGAGCACACTGCTGGCTCATGCTAAGTTTTTCACCCATCAGGACCCCCAGGTTCTTCTCTGCAGGGCTACTCTCAAGGACAGTCTGTATAAATGCCTGGGATTCCTCTGGCCAAAGTGCAAAACCTTGCACTTTGCCACGTTGAACCTCATTAGGTTCACCTGGGCCCACCTTTCAAGTCTGTGGAGGTCCCTCTGAATGGCATCCTTTCCTTCCACCGTGTCAACCACACCATTCAGCTTGGTGTCATCAGCAAACTTGCTGAGGGTGCACTCGATTGCTTCGTCAATGTAATTGATAAAGATGTTAAAGAGCACCAGTCCCAAGACAGACCCATAGGGGATGCCGCTCTTTACCAGCCTCCACCTGGATATAGAGCCATTGATGACCACCCTGTCTGCAGCCTTTCAACCAATTTCTTATCTAAGGGGTCATCCTCCCTTCAGATTCACACTCCTCCAATTTGGAGATAAGGATGTGGTGGGAACCACGTCAAGGATATATTCTATATGCTGAAGTGAGAGAAACATAACCAGGAGAGAAGAAGTTACATGAAACCATTAGAGTAGCAGTTGACTTAGAGTGTAGGAAATCTCCTCTGGCACTTGGGGTTAGTACCTACCAATGAGTATATAATTATAGTGCGGCACAGAAAGCAAAAACAATTTGAAACCTCAGGAGAGATAAAAAGGAAAATGGATAATAAATGCATAAAAGTTCTTTTTTACCTCATCTCAATGTTATCTTTCTCTAGGACTCTCAAAAACTTCTTGGTCTCAGTATTCAATGCCTTCTTTTTTCCCATTTATTTATTGATTTTATTTTGCAGGTGCTGATATTGTGCAGTGGCTTATGAAGAACCTCAGCATTGAGGATCAAGGTAAAGTGAACCATGGCTGGGAATTAACAGACGTTTCAGCTGTACTATTTTTGTGCCATAAAAGAGTATGTACTACTTCACTGCAGAGTGTAAAGAGTAGAATAACAAGGTTGATTTAAATATTTGGTGGGAAGAAGGAGAGCAGATAAGAATCAGCAACATAATTAAATCTAATATCTTACAGCTACAGCGCACAGAAAGCACTTTGTAGGAGTCCTAGCGTGTCTGTGAAATTGTTGCTACCTAAGAAAGCCTGATGTATTCTAAGGCTGTTCCCAGACTCAGAAAGAAATTTGGTAGATATGTGACTAAATGGGCGAATGTAGTGACAGGACTCCCTGGTGTGGAGAAGGATAGCCGCAACTGACAGTACACGGTGGCCAAGGATGATACAGACACCAGTATGGGATCAGATGGTGATTTATCGTGGCAGCTAGGTAAATGGATAATGAGCCATAAACTGTGATCGGTGTTTGGGCACAGTCCAAATAGTTCACACTTCAGATAAACCAAAATCAAAATCACCTTTCAAATGGTTGAGAGCTATGGGGATAAAAAGGCCTTGTTCAGGCCCAGAAGTTTCTTTTGCTTTCCTGTAAAGACAAAAAAAAAATAAAAATCAACATTTCATTTTGCAGTCTGCTTCTGCTGTCACTATGTAGGATAGGAGTAGAGGCCACATCGACTCACTCAGGGCAATTTTCTACACACATTTCTTCTTGTGAGTCCAGTCAAGTCCAAACCTGAATTTCAGCTGCAGACCATGGATTTATTATCTGCCTGGGCACATGTGATAATCTAATGTGTATTTTGCAAGTCTGAGACAGTAGATGCAGCTTTTGACAGCTGAGATCTGTTGAAAGTATGTGCAAATCATAAACTCATAGAATGGTTTGGGTTGGAAGGGATCTTTAAGATCATGTGTTCCAACCCCCCCTGCTAGAAACAGGGACACCTCCGTCTAGACCAGGTTGCACAAAGCCCCATCCAGCCTGGCCTTGAAAGCCTCCAGAGAGGAGACACGCACGTTTTCACTGGGCAATCTGTTCCAGTGTCTCACTACCCTCACAGTAAAGAATTTCTTCCTGATATCTAGTCAAAATCTATCCTTTTCCAGTTTAAAGCCATTTCCCCTAGTCCTGTTGCTACATGCCCCTATAAAATGTCCCTCCCTAGCTGCTGTAGTGGTGAAGGCTGCATCTAGGGACTTTCATCTATATTTTAAGGCTGCTTTCTGCTTTGCATGATTTCATTGAAAGGTGTATGGATGAAGTGTGATTGAAACATGGCTTATGCATGTGAGGTCATGCTGTGACTCATCCATGGCCCTGCTGCTGAAAGCAGAGGGTTGTGCAGGGCGTATCATCCTGACATCTCCTCTTTTTTCTCTCTTTTTCTACTGTTTAACAGGGGAAGCAATACACTTGGGAAGTCTTATTGCTGCACAGGGTTATGTGTTTCCAATCTCAGACCATGTCCTTACCCTGAAAGATGATGGGACGTTCTATCGCTTTCAGGTTGGTGAGCCCTCTGCCTTGCTTGTGTGTCCCTTTCTGCTGTTCTCTATTAGCACAAAATTGAGTATCCACTCTCCTGTCCGAAGTGGACCAGAGCAAACTTTGGAATCAGACATTTGAGCTCCGGCGCAGTGGAAAGTTCATACTTCTAATCTGCTTCTGGTTACAGGTTGGTGTAGGAGGGGGCTTGCTTCAGCCTTTGGCTCTGTTACAAAGAATGCCTAACCTTGGCAGCTATTTAAGCTGGGACACTTCTATCCCTCGTTGTCTCTGTGCCTCCAGATATGTTCAGTTTTTAAAGCATCCGGTGCTTGAGTTCAGTGTCCTTTTCAAAACTTGCTGCTATCAAACTCCTAGATAACTGGTGTGAGTGCTGCAATAACTCCTTTTAGACAGATTGTGTAACTTTAAAAGAAGCAGTAAGTTCAAAACTATTGTCCTGTTGTTTAATCTTGCTGGTTAAATTTGTATTTTTCTGTTAATTGATCTCTGTCAGCTTCCTTATCTTTCCTGTGACCTCTCTTCTATTCACCGCACCATTTTTCCCTTTCCATTTGTTTTTTCTTTTTTAGTTTTTATTTGAAAAGCATGTTCTCATCTTTGCATCTGCTGCTGCTGCTGATGCTCACAGTCCCATTCCTAATGTGGTATTGTTATCACACGAGACCAATGGCACAGGGAACAGGGAAAAAAACAACAACAGCAACAACAACAAAAAATGAACAGGGAGATCACAGACCTAAGCGTATCTCTGCCCACCTTCTGATTACCTGGCTCACTCAGGCTATTTTTCATGACAGTTCTCTTGCTTTTTACTGAGTCCTACTATTCTGGTTGTACAAGGCTTGGCAGAAGCAGGGGCAATGCTGATTGCCTGTTTAATTGTGTTTTTGTGATACCATAGGAAGTTTAATTCTCAAATAATCCAGTGCCAGGTTTCAAAAGCAGAGTATCATTTAATTTCTTATTTTAAGCCTGTGTAAACTACATCATCAAATTGTTTTGACTGCTTATTGACTTTTTTTTCTCTCCCCTTATCTTTTCCTGCAATTGTGTTTACTGTTTGCCTGTTGTCATTTCCTGCAACAATTCTCCTCAGACCTTTTCTGCAAAAATAAGCTGATAGGATCGTTTTTCTTTTCCATTACTCCACTTTCCATTACTTGACACTTTCTACCTTGACATCAGTCCCCTCTTTAAGAGTAGCTCATCATCTTGTGAAGTTCAGGAGATATATATCAGTGCAGTGTATTGAACCAAGTGCTGTTTGATCCCTCTGAGTTTTCTCACTGTACATTGGTGCAGGGAATAGTTTTCGTATGTGTGTAAATGTCCTATGCATTTTTGTGGAATTGCATCACTAATGCAAAACAGTGTTCTGTAATTTGTGTGGTCACAAGGACATTATTTTTCATTCATGTCAAAACTGAGATACAACCAGATGTAGTAATATCTTGTAATTAATTATAGCAACTGCAATATGCAGACTTGGATAGAAAACCAAACCAGAAAGCTTAGCAGGACTTCTGCTTTCAGAATGACCTTAATCAGCTGAGTTTTGAGCTCTTATGTCTGATTGATTTTGAAGTGAATTGTTTTGTTGGCTATCAATCAAACTGGAAGCCACTCCAAAAATAGCAAGTTGGCCTGTGGCGTATATAAAAGGCCTCAAAGATTTTCTCATTGTCCTATGTAAATAAGTAAGTAAATAAATCTGGGTGCCTGGGAATTCCTGGGGAAAGAGGAAGTTCTGATGATAGAGAGTAAGGAGTCTGTATTCAGATGAGAAGGAAGGAGTGTCTAAAATGCCATCAGGGTAGATGTCTTCAATCAGAACTGCAATGTTTCTACCTGCAGTGAGGAATGTTAGAGAGGATACCTTTCTGAAAAAGCATCGTCAATTTTACTGAGAACTGTAGCATTGTTTCCTTCCCCTGTGAATAGAGACTGGGTTGTAGATGTGTAATTCTTTTTGTATTTAACAATTTTTCTGCATCTGATTTGCTTTTCATCTCTTAAATTATGAAAATGCTTATGTTGTTTCTTAGGCACCATACTTTTGGCCTTCAAACTGCTGGGAGCCAGAAAACACAGATTATGGTGAGAGCATAATTATTTCATTGCAGAAAGCTAGTACAGAAAGTTTGTGATGGAAGAAATTGTCCTTCAGCTGACAAGTTCAGCAGGGCCAGGATTTCACATACTGTTGCCTTCATTCTCCAGTAGCTCTGTTCGTTTCAGCAGGATTTATGGCAAGCAGAATATTGCACTGTGGGAATCTTAAATAATATCAGTATGGCTTTTGTAGGAGAGCATGCTTTGATCTGTAGCTGAATTTGATATGTTGATCAATAAAAAGTTACCTCATTTGGGCACTTGTCTGGCTGATCAATACATCAGTATATAACTGATGGCATCCCGTAGCTAAGCTTCTGTGGTGCATGACATCAGACTTTTTTTTTTTTTTAATTTAAGATTACCAGCTTCTAGCTGGTAAAAAGAGAAAACTGAGTGTGCTTTATGAGCTAATAAACTGTAACATGGGGTATTAGATGTGTGAATGCCTGCAGACAGTGATAATACATAAAGAAAATATGTCAGTATTGTTATCTTTAGCTGTCTCCGTGCAATATTGCTGTCTCTTCCAGAACTACTCTTCTTTCACAGCTGAATGATAAAATCAATTGATGCATCCTGGTGTGGCACTCAAACAGGAAGTGAATCCATGTGTGTGCCCATAAAGCAGGAGCTTCTGGAAATGCTTCTTTTGAAATACCTCATAATCTAAGATCAGTTTATAACTCCTCCCTGAATAATCATTTTTTTCTTTCCCAAGTAATAATTATTCATCATTCCGGATTCTGAGAGTCGTTTGACAGGATGGGAAAGTAACTTGCAATGCTGTCTGTCGTGTGATAGTTCATTTGCAGTCTTCCACTGCAGGGAAGCTAATGCAGACTTATATGTTTATCCCAGTGAGGGGACTGCTTAGGACAAAATGCTGTTCATTGTTTGTAAAATGGCTTCCAGATTTTACAAACAGTCACCATATATGTGTCTGAACCATACCAAATGTATTTTTTGTAAATATCAGAGTAACAGCCTGAAGAGGGAGGTTGTGTTTCTGCCTATGGTGTTTGTTCAATAACTGGGTTCCACTGTCTGGCTGTTGTGCAGCAAAGGCATTGGGTGGAACAGTACACCTCAAATCAAGCCCCACATGAGCCAACCCACAGCTGGATGAGCTGCGACTGCATTAGCTCTGAACCCTGTAGTGACAGATTTTCATCTATCCCAGAAATCTCTAACATATGCTTATAATCAGCCTCTGCATATCAGGGGTCTGTGCAGATGGAGTCTTCCCAGGAGTTAATCCCAAATTAGCAGTAGACCCAAATAAAACTGAAATCCCAGCAGCTCTTCATACTTTTGTTATTTGCACAGAACTGCTCACAGGACAGCAATGAACTTGCTAATGGCAGGTCACTGCCTTGTGTGGAGAAGTACTGCAAGACTCTCAGTTTATTTGGTATTATTATTAGTCTTCCAGGTAAAGCTGCTTTTGAGAAGTATAGAAACAAATATATTTGACCCAATCAGCTCTGGTTATCATGCATAATGTTGGCTTGTTATAAGGATGTTAAAATTACAGGAATGGCATTGAGGAAAATAACACAAATATCACTGTTTTTTGTCGTATTTTACATAGATGATGAGGTTCCCAATGAAAAACATTCATGGAAGTGCCAGAAAATCGTATTTATGTGCAAATCAAAATCCCATGGTTTTCAAAGAAAACCCAAACATTTCTGAAAAATGTTCTTTTCTATCGAGGATGCTTTGCCTTCTGCCCCATGCCAGTTTGGTGCACTGTTGGCTAATCTTTACCTGGCCCTGCAGTACAAAAAGAAGGCAAAAGGCAGGGAAATCTATGCAATTCACTCCAGGATTTCATCACGAAATGAGAGAATTGGATCTTTTTTATGCATCATGTCTGACTGTATACCCCGGGTGTGCATATTTTGTTTCAGCCTTCAGCGGAAATGGGCTGTGCTGACAGTCCAGCTGAGCCAATCCCAGAAGGTAGCCTGGAACTGGTTAGGTACCCTCTGAATCCCAGCTCGCACCAATTTCTGCAGTGTTTGTGTATGGTGAAATGGGTGAGAGTTTTTCTCAGTTGTTTGAAATGTACAAAATAAGTGGATGGAGCAAATAAAAACTTGCTCAAGTTATACTTCTATGATCCAGCCTGTATTTCTAAAATATCTTATCATTTCAATATCTTGATTTATTTTTTCTTAATTATTCTTTAAGAGACAAGGAGATGCAGAGATATACAAGGCTGCTCGCTTTTGAAGGAATTTTTTCCAAAGTGCTGAGGGGAACAGGTTGCTAATGCTAAATCTTTTACCAGCACCAGAAGTAATTGTGTCTTTCTCAGACATCTTGTTAGGACCAGGCATCAACTCTCAGCACTTTTAAATGAGATGTCCCAGATGTTTAAGGCCTCTCTGATTGCTAGCACATAATGTCAGCTGGGTATTCAGCCCTTTCATTCCTTGGCTTATGTTGCCTTCAGATGAGAAGATTGTGGAGGTTTGTGTTTTTTTCAAGATCTTGTACTAATAATCTGTCTGTAATTGTTTTCTGTTCTGTTTCTCCCTTTAGCCATCTATCTTTGCAAACGGACCATGCAGAACAAAGCTAGGCTGGAGCTGGCCGATTATGAAGCCGTAGGTACACTCCTGCTAAAGTTTAGTGTGTGGGGGCATAGGGGAAGGCTTTGTTTGCCAGCTGAATGCTGCCATTTAATGCCTTGGGGTCAGCCTTTACTGTGTGTCTTTTTTTAGCTGTCAGAATTTGTTGAAGGTTGATCTGGAAAAAACATCAGGCTCACGAATGAGGAATGTCCTCAGCTCTGCAGCCTCTCCAGTTAAAGCATCAGCACCAAGAGGCAAATCACATAGAAGTTTACATTGGTTTCCTCTTTCCAGTTAACACTTCCTGGTTTATATAGCAGATATGAAGCTGCAGAAATCATGGATGATGACCCATGGCATATAGTTACATACTATACTTACAATATAGTTACATACTGTAAAGGAAAGTTTTCAGTTATGAAGCTTGGACTGTGTATTCAGTATGCTATCACACTTATTCAGGAAGTGTTTTCTCTCATGAAATTATTATTAATAAAAAATATCTCCAAACTCAGCTTCTGAGAGTGCAGAGTTTGGGTCAGTATGGAGGGGAGGATGGAGGCAGGAATGTCAGTGTTGAAATGAGTTTCTTTGAATGCTAGCAGTGTATATCAGTCTGACGAGCTGAACTTTGCTTTCTGTCTTTCTTCTCATTTACTGGTTCAGCAGCATGACTGTTGAATGTCCAATGTGGATTTTTTCAGTGAAGTGTTTTTCACAAAAATGGCCATAGTGGACTTGTGTGTTCATGTTTATTATTGAACACATCTATATTGTGTATATGATAGGGTTTTCTATTCTTTTTTTCCTAGAACACATTTTCTCCTTCTTCTTTTCCTTCTACTATATTTCCTTCTACTATATATCTATGTGTCTTTTGTACACGTAGATATGCATATACACCATTTGGTTCTTTCAGCAGAGGGCATACAAAAATTGCCACTTGTCTAATCCACCCTTGTCCCACGAGTTCTAATTGTGAAGTACAGACATGAAGGAAGGAATAAAGTAATCCATATGCATTTATACGACATTTTACTGAATTTTCACTTCTGCATACTTTTTGTTTCATTATTAAAACCATTAAAATTGGTCACAGCCTACCAATTAACTGTAAGTACTCTAAATATCTATGATAAAACAACAAAAGACGGTTCTGCAGCACACACTCCCACACATGCCATGAGGTTATGGCTTAGTAATTTTGCACACAGTTGTCCACTGAGAGTAGCAACGCACCAATGATGGCAAATAATTAGATCTTGGCAGTCTCTCATTCTTCTTGTGAATATTGCGTTGCACGATTAGAGGTCTCTTCTTCATTCATACTTTGCTCCCTTAATTAAAGACAATCAGGTAAGAATGGCACTGACTTTTCCTAGTCTTTATGAGAGCTGAAGCAGACCCAGCACTGGAGGTGTAAGTTGAGCACACATGAGAGAAGCAGGTTTAGGGGAGTGGGAAGGAGTCCTGTACATTCAGTACCAACTTTTGTAGATGTAGCATGAGGACATTTCTCTGCAGGCACCAGCACCGCCTTGGAGTTTCCAAAGAGAATCTCTACAAAGCATCACAGGGGACATTTCATTTGAGGTTCTGCTTGCATCATTCACAAGCAACTCCCAATTTCTGCTGGTAAAGCAGAGCTCTTCATTGTATGATTGAGCTTGCATGATTGGATTTAACTTTAATTTATAACTGAACAAACATAAGCATGATTCAAAGAATGTTTCAATTGGTGATATTTAATTGGCTTCATCATATTTACTCCAGAGGGCACATATGAACATAATTTAAAATAAAAAAATAAATCAAAGCCACAAAAAAATTCTTTTTGCAGATATTACAAGTGGTTCACAGTAAAGGAAATCATCACAGCTTGGCACAGCTGTAAATCATTTGCTTAACTGTTTTCCTCCATGTAGAATACTGAAATTCTTAAGTAGACTTGGTGGTAACTGAGCCAAGCTTTGTCTTGTGTTATACAAGAGCTTGAAGTAAAAAGTAGGGAGACTTCTAGCACTGAAATGCATGCACTTAAGCATTTTCTTAAATGGAATCAATGTAAAAAGAACAACAGTAGAACTAATATTGTTCATTTTCAAAGAAAATTTGTAACACTTGAACCAGCTGTAATGGGTCAGGTTAGTGGTCTCATAGACCACTAGTCTTCAAGTGGTTGTGGATGTGACTTCATAGAATCATAGAAGGTGCTTTTTGAGCCTCAGATTCTGGCCGTGTCAGTGAGCTTGACCTCGGTCTGTGAGGAACTTACACCCATCTCCAAATGCTCAGATCCTGATGCTCTCTGCAATAGACCTGAACTAGAATTCTTCAGATGCAGGAAAAAGGCTGCATCTGGATCTGGTCTCTCAGTGAGCTATTTTCATTGTTCAGACAAACAAGCTATTTCCTTTTGTGAATCATTCTGGCAATTCCCAGACTTGAGTGCGGTGCAGCTGTGCAGTGCTCTCAGGGCTGAACAGAGCAGGGGATGCTCAGGCTTTACACCTTAGCAAAAGGAACCAGTGTGGGGAGGAAAAGGAAGTAGCGAAGAGAGGGAATCATGCAGGTGGCAGCCATCTGCTATCAGAAATGGAAATTGTCAGCTTTGCAGAGCTTCTCAGTATTATCTTTTGGGAACAAGACCATCACCATTTTACTAAGAGATCTCGGGCTGTCTTCATCACACTCTATTACTTCTCCTGACAGGGTCCTCTTGGCTGCAGCCTGAAAAGATGTGTCATGACCTTGCTTTGTCTGTGGTATAAATCACCTGAAACCAGCACTGATTTCCATGTCTTGAGTTCTCCAGCTTAGAAAAAAAAAAAAAAAGAAGGGGAAATAAAATTAACTCCCAACGTACTAAATGCTCTCAAACAATTGTTGTAATTACTAGAATTAATTGTTCTTAACTATTTTCATCTTTTGTCAGGAAAACTTAGCAAGACTTCAGAGAGCGTTTGCAAGGAAATGGGAATTCATCTTCATGCAAGCTGAGGCGCAAGTGAAGTGAGTAATTCTGGAGCAGTGAACTGCCCCAGTATCTAGGGCTGCACAGGGAGGGGGACTCCGAGAGTTTCTCTCTTAAAGTCTTCACTGCAGCTAAGCTCAGATGGAACTGGTAAATCATCAGCAGACTGGAAACAATAGAGAGCCAGTTGCTAAGGTTTGTGCCAGAATCTGAAAGACGTGTTTAAATGTCTCTGTGTAGAAATGCCCATCAGGAGTTCCTGAGCCTGAATTTTCCATGCAAGATTGGGCGATTCACTTGCACATTCTGCTTCTGCTGTTGGTAGTATTTTTATTTCCCATAAATGGAAAGAACGAAATTTTGATATCGGTCTCTATAACTCGATGCTTGTAAAGTATTTTTAAAATACTGTTATTTAGAAGTGCTTATAAAGGTGCTATTTACAACAGACTGTGTTTTTCTCATTTATGGCAATCCCCAGTCAACTCAGCTGTACCTCTATTTTCTGCACTCCAGTTTATGCTGGATTAACAGTGTGGAGGATTGGGTACCACTTATATGAAACTTACTCCAACTAAATACTGTTGGGTTTTTTTTTTTTTTTTCTGTCTTCTACTCACAGTTGAAATGCTCATTCTTGTTCACATCTTTCCAAAAACAGTTTGATGTTTTTAGCATGTTGTCATTATTGCTGCAAAATGAGCGTTGTCCAGGGTTTGTAGACTAGTGTACCTAACAGCCCGTGTGCCCATTTTGTGCACGTAATCATCTCCTGTAAAACTGGAAGGCTGATGAAGGTGATGTATAAGAATACAGGGTACTAACGGGCTGTATTAATGGAAAGAATGTGCACTTTTAGCATCAGATGCTAAAAAGTTAAGGGACACTTTTACTTGAGGGGGTGGCTGAGGCATTGGTCTCTATCTTTGATTAACTCGTTGGAATTTTGATTAATTGTAATTATGCACTATTTAAGTATGTGGTAATTATCCTCAAAATAACAAGGCAATTAAGGGATTTTTTTTCTGAAGAGAATACCAGTGTTCTGCTTAGAAGAAAAAATTGGAAGTTACACTAGCAGTTGTACTTTCATTTACTTAAAGGTTTGTTGCCAAAAGGGAAAAAATCTCAGTCAAAACAAAATTCTGCATTCCATTTACAGCATAAATTATTTCCTAAGAAAGAAATCTTAATTTCAGATTTTTTACAGGGTCAGCACTGCATACTCATCTTTTCATGGAGAAAAAAATGGACTAGAATTCACAATGCAGTGCTTGGCGGTGTGTTAACTAAAACAGAGAACAAAGCAAAACATCTAAAAAGCATTTCTCCTGGTTTTGCGTTCTGTGTTTGCTTCTCATCTTGGTACAGTGAAGTGGTGTCTGGTGGCTGCTCATGCTGAGCTGGTTTCTTTTATCTCAGCCAGCTCCAAAATGCACTGGACTCCAGGATTTTGTGGGGAGGGAAGGGGTGTTCAGGTGCGTCAGCCTCAGTCCCCAATTTCCTTGGTACACTTCTAGCACAGACTCAGCTGAGAATCACTGCCTCTCCTAAAGAAAGACAAGAGAAGTGAGAACCTGATTGTCAGAAGCTGTAGCTTGCTTGTGCTTTCTCTCACTGCTGTCATTATCCTAGGTGGCAGCAGTGCAAGAAGTCAGCACGGGGATGCTGTCAGCCTCTCAAGCCTGGTCTGGAGGCAAGGGTGTCATCTGGGTTTACGCAGGGTTCCTCCTCTCTGGGTGTCATCTGTCTTTATGCAGGCAGGTCCTACAAGCTGATGGTGACTGTGCTGTGCTCACGTGTAGAGCTGAGCATCAGACATGAATTGCTAGATGCTGCTGAGAGGTACAGGTACAGCTGCTTTGAACAACCTCCAGTGGCCTGTGATGTGTATGCTTTCAGTGAATCAATTTACTGGCTACATGATGGCTGAAATTAGTGACTTACACCCATGCCAACCCCATCACATATCTCCAGATGAGTGCTGGCTTGCACAACACTGTCAGTGAGCTGGGCCCTGTCACTCACGCTGTCACCCCACACTGCCAGCACCAGGGCAGATGGAGCCGCTCTGTTGGAATCTCCAGGCACAGCGACCACAAGTGTTGCCTGTGCTGTCACTGCTCAGGGGCCTTGGGCAGCTGCCTCACAGGAGTCTGTGATCATAGCAGTGAGGTCTCTGGGTGCAGCAGGACCTTCTGAGGTGGCCCTTCAGCCTGCAGGAGAGAGATGCCCAGAGATACAGGCCAGATGATGCTGACGGAGCCAAAGCTAAATGGTTTGGGAAGAGAGCATCAGGAAAGGAAGCTGTTCTCACCAGGTAGAAAACAAACAAACAAACATATGTTAAGATAAATTTTCCATCTTAATAGGAAGAGTCCTCTTGACACACATTGCAGTAAAAATCCATGATGTTTTGCTCATGATGTATGGACTTGGAAGTCAGAGTGTAACATTTCTATACCCAAAAAAAAATAGAGAGAGAGAGAGAGAGAGATTTCTGAACATTTTTGTCACTGAGTTAAAACTCTAGCTAGAAAATATAACAAGGAAAAAATAGTTGTGTGGTAACTTGTGTGTTTATGCACACAAGTTTTTTTTTTTGTTTTGTTTTGTTTTGTTTTTCAGAATTGACAGGAAAAAGGACAAAACAGAAAGGAAAATTTTGGACAGCCAGGAGAGAGCATTCTGGGATGTGCACAGGCCTGTGGTAAAGCCTTTCTTAAATGATCAGTTTTAATTCATTTAACACTGTGCCGTGAATTGCACAGTGATATTGTCGTTAAGGTCACTGTATGGATTTTCCTCACAATTTAGAACAGGCTTCTACAAGAGTATCTCAGATATTATTGGTTTGTGCATGCTTGGAACTGTTGACTCAGAAATATATTATAAATATCAAGTATTGAAGATATTTTTTTGTGTGGGTGGAAGAAAAGCAGTTTGTCACAGACTTCCTAGAAAAAGCTCTCCTCTTAGCTGTGGCATTTCTGCTTTGTGCTGAAGTTAGAAGTAAACGGATTTGATGCTGAGATGCCAACTTTGGGTACGTGCACTCTCTTGTTTAGAAAGCATAATCTATGAGTGCAAACATAAGGAAAGAATTTTGGACAAGATCTAAACTCTATTTTAGGTAGGTAAGGAAGCATGCAGACTGTAAGCAGAAGACACTAATGTGATACCCATCTCCTTTAACTGTCTCTTTTCAGCCAGGCTGTGTGAACACCACAGAAATGGACATTAGAAAGTGTCGTCGTATGAAAAACCCACAGAAGGTGAAAAAGGTCAGCGTGAGTTTCTGGTTTTCTTTCATTTTTTTTAATGTCAGTCATTCTTGACACCTAGAGTATATCAGACTTTCCCAATAGAAATCAGAAGATGGGTTTCGCAAATGTCAGTTCTGTTTTGAGAATGTTTTCACTAATTAAATGGTGAATTTACTATTGCAGTTTTAGCAACAGATGTCTACTGTCTCTACATTCCCATAAAAATAAAATCAGTTGGCAAAAACACTTGGGTCACACTTTTCAGAAGTTATTTGGACACAGGTTTTTCAGAGTGCTTTATGTGCCTTAATAATCTCAAAGGCTTGATCATTTGCAGCTTGGATTCTCTTGACTTCCAGCAAGTTCTTACTCTTATGTGTTTTTATTAGTTTTAGAGGTGAAATTAGACTGCTAAATTCCATTGGTAGTTAAATTTCAGCAGAGATATTCACCTGTCTCTTTTGAACATAAAGTGAAAAGCAAAAATATTAAATGACAGAACAGTTGATATTACTTTCAGTGTAAGTCTCTATCCTGAAAACAAATGGCTACAAGTCAATCTTTAGGTTCGCGTGAACTTGAGCGATTGACACCTGGTTAAGCTCTTTCTTTGATATGTAGTTTTATGACAAGAAATTCAAGTGAGTGGAAGAAAATGAAAGAAAAGTGTTGGATTCTATTACATTTTTTCTGCGCTTACTTCGCCACAACAATCATTCACAGCATTCTTCTTACAAATACAAGAGACACAGCCCTCAGAGCTCCTAAAAATGATCAGCTGTATTTTAGTATTTAAGATAAGCTCCTTTTTCAGTAAGTCCTGTGAAGCAGCCCTATAGACTGCAGCAGCACAGAGCGGACACCTCATGTGCAACAGGGGAAGGTCTCAGGTGAGAGTGTTTTGCTGGAAAGCAAGCTGTGCAGGAAGCTCTGAGCACACCGCTGGCATGCCTACAGACATCCCAAATGCAGGCATCTGCAGCACAGTCAGATCTGTCAGTTTTGCTCCCAGCTGAATGATTGTTTACCTGTGTGGGGAAAAAAAATGTAGGAAATTGTTGGCTTATTACCTTACTGTTTTGCATACTGCACTTCTCATTGCATAACAGAGAAAAAGCTCTCATCTATTCTGTTTGTTTGCTGGTTCCTTGCAGTCAGTGTATGGGGTTACAGAGGAATCTCAGCCCCAAAGCCCTGTTCATGTGCCCTCCCAGCCCATACGCAAAGCTACAAAAGAGGATTTCCGGAAACAAGTAAGTGGATGTCTGTGCAGCAGTTCAGTTGTCCTGAGAGCTGGGTGCATCTGGAACAGTCAGGCAGTTGTTTTCTGCTTAAATAAAAAAAAACATTTAACATTGTAGAGATATCAGCAGAAACCACCATTGGTTTAACTATGCTTGATCCTCACTTCCTTTATGTCAAGCAGTAAGTATTTAAAGATGTGTATTAACTGAGCAGTGCAGTTATGGGCAACACTAACCTTCTGATTACTTACTTTGTGGGCCAGTAGGCAGATTAATTTCCATCCACTGAGGATGCCTGAAAAGTGGGCACTGAGAAAGGCTAGAGAAGCTGGCACAGCCAGAACACAGACATGGTGCTTTTGGGGAACTGGAAAAAAAGTTATTTGTAGAATTGCTCTGAGGAATGGCTCTGAGGAATTGACCTGAGGAAATGTCTGAATCATGGGTTCTTGCCCCTCCATGGGGAGCTCTGGCTCAAAATTGCTCTCCTGCAAGAAACAGCTCTCACTGAAGTATGGGCAGGAACTGCTGGGTCAGCTTTTTAGTAAAGAAGGCATTAAACATGTTTCTTAGGCAGCTAGTTTTAGACTGATCTTCTGAACTAAGACTGAACACTAAATCTCTTGAGCTTTTTCCACCATAGGCAGTATGGACTGCAGAGTATGTGAAGAACTACTTTATAGCACAGTACAAATGTACTTTGAAACCTTTATTTTCTTGGTTAGAGAAATGAAAGTGTGTATTATAAAATAAGGATCACATTGCACTCTGAGTTGTCTAGGAACCTCAGCTCCAAATATGTCTTTCCTACTTTTAATTATTTCTTCTGAAGCTCCCCCTGGGACTTTGCTACATGAAATGGAGACTCCTGATGGAAGCAGCTAGTAAGCTGCTTCTATTACCTGGGGGAGGGTCCCATTTCTTTCTGAGTTACTTTCAAGCTGTTTGGAATGAGAAATCAATAGTGTGTTGGGATGTGATCAATGCATGCTGTGGAGCTCCTGGATTGTTAATGCCCTTGTCATCTCTCTCCTCAGATAACTTTTCTGAACCTGCAGATAGACAGGCATTGTTTAAAGATGTCCAAAGTAGCAGAAAGGTGAGTGTCCCCAAGTATGTGATTTTTCATTACTTCTTCATCTCAAGTTTAGCATTTCTAGAAATAGCAAGTAGGCAGGGATGCACGAAGGCTCGTTCCATTTCTGAGCAGTGAATTCTTTTCCCTCCTCGTCCAGACATGCTGCTTGTCTGCTGACCACTGACATTTGATATTTGCCCTTCTGCCACTAAGAAAAAGTGAGTGAAAAAGGAGAATGTTGTACTGTAAAAGCAAGAGAAATGTGATCACAATGGAAAGAACCATTGCAGGGCATTCATTTCCTACATCACTAAAGTCTAGTGTTTACTTAAAGAAAAGTCATTCTTCTTTCAGTTGAAAAGCATTCAATTTTTACTTTCTGGATGAACTCTGAGTGCTCCTCTCCTGTTAGACTGACAAATCTCTGTGGAGGGCACTGTGTTTGCATCTTGTTGCATGTGATGTTTGCATTCATGCTGGGATTCATTTGTGCTGGTGTTGTAGGGCCAGTTTCTGCCCTCAGTTATGCATGTGAAACCCTATGGAAAGTACTAGGTTTGTATCTTGACTACTCAAGGCAATGTTATGAAGAGGTGGATTTCTCATAGAGGCAAATCAAGGCACAGTTTCACTGCAGAAAATTTAGTCCATGTAGGAAAGTATGAACAAGTAAAGAACAAGCTCAAATTTAGCTTCCTGAGAGTGACAGCTCCTTTACTCAGATACTTGTAAGCTACTCACGTTTTCAGTGGAATTGCTGTGACAAATGTACGGATCAGCATGCTTTTCTGTGACATCGCTTTCAGAGCAAAGCTGTCTTGAACATGATGGGCATGACAAGGGATGGCTCTTTCTGGAGAAATAACAGGAATTTTTACTTAAACAAATTAAAAAGAGATTTCCCTATGAAATTTTGTGCTTTGCAGTACTTGCTCCTGTAATTAGCGTGTGTACACTAAACTAGGCAAATTAAATGGCAGGAGCTCAACAGAAAGTTCCTACTGGCTCATAATGTTTATCAATTTAAATTAAAGTTTATCCAGTTAAAAAGAAAATATTCAGAGTCTTTCTGAAATCCTTCACACACTATTTTACACCTTTGAAATTAGCACATTCACATTTATGTTTTGGGCTTTCTGGTTCTGTTCTGATAATTTTGTGTTTTACCAAAAATTCTCATTATATACTGAATTTACTTACGGTGACCTTAATATACTGTGACAGTAATAATTTCCAGGCTGGTAATTTACAGACAAGCAGATGTGTTTTGCTTGAGTTTTTTCTGGGTTGGTATTTATTCAATAAGATGGTCTCAATAAAACTCACTGACTGTGAACATCAGGTCCTGTCCACACAGCACACCTGTTGTTCAAGTTATACTGCCATGATAAATATGTCATTGTCAATGCCAGAAGAAAAATCTATTAGTTTTCAGTAGAACTGGACAAAAAACAATTTTCTTGGTCTGGAGGGACTGTGGATGACAGTGCTGCTGGAGAGCCCCAGGCTGTGGTGGGGCTTGGCACAAGGGGTGGCATGGAAGGCCCTGGAGGGGCTCAGCAGTGATAGGGATGGGTGAGAGAGAATGAGTTTGTGTGGCCTAAGTTGACCTGTTGCCTGAAATGAAGCCTGTGTTGCCCTGAAGACTGTGTGTGAAACACTGGATGTGTGATCCAAGAGCAGATGTGCTGAGTAAGGAGGTGCTGTTAGTAGTAGCAAGGCACTTCTCAGGTTGGGCTCTGCTTTTAAGACTGAGGCATCCCTCAGCTGCTCCAGGAACACAGGGAACAGTTTTTCTACTTCCAAATCCTTTTTCCTCTCTTGGGACATGAACACTGTTGGTTTTAGGATCTGGCAAGGACATTTGACAACTCTCTAGTAAAACTGTGAATAAATTGTACCTACTGTTTTTCCTGACCACGTCAGGCGGTGCTGATGCAATCCCAGTACATGTGGCATTACGGAAATGGCTGAGGAAAGCCCGAACACCTTCCTATCAAAAGTAATCTTGGTTCCCTAAATGAAAATGTGTCACAAACCTGTGTTATCCTCTCAACCACCTGAAGTTGCTGTGAAGGCTCAGCAGGGCCACCTGATAGTGAGATAGACAGATTCTCAGTGCAAGCTCTGCCCCCTTCCATGAACTCTTAACCATCACCTCTTCTGCCAGAATGACACAGCATCACCTGAAAAGCCAAAAGCCCAGGTTTACCTTTTGGCAGAAACACTTTCCCTTAGGATTCCCACTGCCTGTAGCCTTGTTTAGACAATGAGGCCATAATTCAGCTCCTGTCATTATACTGAATCAGCAACATGCGTTTAGCAAATCGACCCTTATTTCATCTACTTTTTCCCCTCTGATGCCACCTTATTATATTGTTACAAGCAATTCAAGTTTCACAGCATATACCTCCTGATTTATCCTCTGTGTCGGTTTTTGTTGGCTTTTTATGTTTTATTTTTTTAACCACCCCTCTCTCTCATTGATGTCTCTGGGATTGCTGCTCTCTGAAATTGGACGCTGCTCCCTCCTCCAACCCTTGACCCACAGCAGTCGTGAAATGTAATTAATGAAATGAGATGAGACAGCCCTGAGTGCCCTGAGGGGCAGTGGGAACCTGCTGTGGTTACAAAAGTGTATGATTTTAATGCCTCATGATAAGAGCTAGGACAAACAAAAAGAAGTAATTATTGTAGGGCAGGTCAGGGAAAGTTTCTGCCTTTTGTGACCCATGGTTTCACGGGGTATTTTCCTTCTCCTATCTTTTGAAGGTGTGGAAGACCCAAAGGTAACACTTAGCATGGACAATCACAGTGAAAATAGATTAGTTTTCAGTATGGTGAGACTCAATTAACTTATTTAATTAGTTGGCAGACTGAGGCAGAAAAAGGAAAAAGTGCCCTGGAGTATTTCGAGTATAGACTGGGACAAATTTCTTTTGATATTTTCACTGCCTACCTTTCATAAAATTGCCACCTAGTCCCAACCCCAATGGAATGCCCAATGGAATGCAAGCAGACATGGGCCTTTTCACAGGCAGCTCTTAGGATTTGAGGCTGTGTGCTTTTTCTAGGCTTGAAGCAGACCAGCATAAAAGCCAGGTGCTTATTCAATACCTGTATAGTTTACTTCGTTTTACATTAATGATTATAAACTAACTACACTGAGTACATTGCATTGTCACTGTGCTAACTGATACACTGCCAAAACAAAATTTCCTATATGCTGAAGATCTGATGCTTAGGACTGTGATCCTACAATGACTTAATTGTGTTCTTAGCTACAGTGCATGACAGTATTTTGATGAGTTACTTGCAATGCTTAAAGCAGTGAGTACAAAAGGCCTTGCAAAAAAAAAAAAAAAAAAAAAAAAAAAGGAAGGGGGGAATAGCAGCATGCAACAAATGTGGAGGACATGTGCTTCAGAGTCACGTTGCTGTCTGTGGGAAGTCCTACCATATCAGTTCACTTGCTGCCACATCAGGCTGTCTGTAGGCATCTCCGCAGAACCAACCTTGAGGAAACCTTGAGTGAACTGGTGAGTGTTGCAGAGAAATCCTTGCATGCACCCTTCCAGGAAAAAGGGGCTGTTGTGTGTGAGTACTAAGAACCACTCTGATCCAAACATGGAAAAAAAGCCCTCCAACAAGGGGGGGTGGGAGGGGCAGAGAGAAAACCTATATCTCTGATACATGACTGAGTATTCAGGCTTTGTCTTTATCTTCTTCTTTTTTACTTTTTTTAATATGTCAGTTTAATAGCGTACACAGAGCAGTATGTGGAATATGACCCTTTTATCACTCCTGCTGAGCCTTCTAACCCCTGGATAAGTGATGATGCAGCTTTGTGGGACATTGAAATGAGGTAAGATTTGGCAGTTTTAGGTAATGTTAGAGTTGTCTTGCAATTTTATTGGTTTGCTTTTCCTCTGGCTGTTGGGATAGGAAGTTTCATCTCTGAATCTTCACATGATACACTCACATAACTGAAGTTAAACAGAATGGTATAGTTTATTATTTCTGTGGTTTATACAGCCCTTTCACTTCCATGTGCTTAATTTGCATTACTGTGTAAGTTAGGGTGATTTCATGCCCCTACAGGGCATGCCTGGGCTTGGTTCTTAGAGCCCACTAGTACAAGATACCTCTACAAGATCCTTGTTCCAGCACACCTCCTTTGACCCTTGAGAGCCTGCTCTTAGGTCCTCCCCAAATTGCAGAACCCCGTGCAAGATGCCACTGCTGTACAGGACACGTTGAGTAATAGCAAGATGCTGTCACTCACCATGCCACCTTCATTGCTCACTCAGAGCATCCTTTGGCAGATGGCTGCAAATGCTGTGCAGCTTTTCCTGAAGCAGAGCTGCTGTTATTGTTCAGTGCCAAACAGAACTGGGAGTTCATTTTAGCAAATCTTTGAGAAAAAGAATGGCAAATCTAATACTATCTGTTCTTAAATCATCATGTAAATTTTGAGATGCTGCCAGCTTAAGAGAGCCAGTTCACCATGAATCAATATTCCAGGAAAAGGGCAAGTTATTTCTCTGTGTAAAAACACATGTGATGTGGGATGTGAAAGGTGTTGTCCCCTGCTTCTCTGAAAGTCACAGAAGCTGGTAATTAGTTCCCTGGTCTCTGCCTCTTTTCATATAAAATCAATATTTTGGATTTCTTTTTCAGTCAGTTTCTCTCAATTTCTCCATCCTCCCTAGCAGGGTTACAGATGCAACCCCTGCAAAATACTACTCTGGAGGAGCTCCACCCACACTGTAATCCAGACATCATTACTTCTGGGTCTGTTGAGGTTCCTGGATACCCTTGAAAATATTTCTGTGTCCCCAAGGAATATAATCAACCTAATATCTTGGACTTACTAAGAAATAGAGTAAAAGCTTTGTTTCTGTTATGATTTCAGAGTTACGAAAGTGATTCTCCTGCTGTATTGTTGTGAGATGAGAGAACAAACATCTTTGTATTTTCATTTTATTCTCTATAGCAAGATACCTCCTTGTGTCTGCATCTAGTTGCAACTTGCATGAATAATTAAATGATTCCCAAAAGCTCTGGTAGCCCTTGCGCTGCCTGCAAGGCTGTTTCTTGTGTCAGGAAAGCAGAGCCCCTGTTCAGAGAAACTAATGCCCCTTTCCTTTCTAATGGCAAAGCCAGCTTCTGAGCAGGGTCAGCGCTGTGCAACTCATCCTTCGCGGCACTGGGGAAATGTCTCAGAAAGGCTTCTGTCTTCGACAGCACTTTGGCCTTTTCAGTCTGTGCAGCAGCAAGCAGAGCAGCTTCTAATTTCCAGAATCATCAGGAAATTCCCTGAACTTGGCTGGTGCATAGCTCTGCACCAGCGCAGCTCTCATGTCCCCATGTCCAGTGTGGCTCTCTCAGCAGAGGAGGAGCCAGCCCCAGTGCTCTGTGCCTCGAGTGAGGACATGCCCATCAGTGTTGCTTAGTCTCCATAGCAAGAGGAAATCAAAGTGGGCATTTTATTTACCCCTGTGGCTTATTTGTCTTCAGCACAGATCGCCACTGTCCCCTAAGGCTCCAGGATTAGGAATCACTGTGGACATGACAAGACATAAAGTTTAATAGATACGTACTGTTTACAATGGCTCTACTGTCACAAATGTGAGCAGCTGAGCTATGTTTTAATGGTTGTCTCATAGTATGATGCCATCACACCAGAAGCTTTCAAACACTTTGTGAGCCCAAATTACTCTCTGATGTAGGCTGTCTTGTGGGATCCTCATAATTCCTAGGCAGTGCCTCTCCCCATAGGCATCTCTGCAACATGTCTGGCAATTCAAACAACAGCTTATGTAAGCAGGATTGTATTAAGAAATAATATAGCAGAAAGCTTGTGAGAGAATTTCGGTGCCTCCACAACTCAGTGTCCCAGCTGAGAGTATGACTGTCATGGAGGGGAAGAGAGAGTTGCTTTTACGTCTTGCAAGACTTAAGTACCCAAAAGTCAGAGGCAGTGAAAAATACAAGACCACAAAGCAGTAATCATTTCTTAAAAATCTTGTACTCTTTGCTTCTCAGTCTGAAGGCAGTTCCAGGTTAGCAGCCAGTACTGTGTGGGATATAGAGTGATGCTCTGGAGCTTGCCGATAGCCTACAGAACATTGCTGGCACATTGCTTTCTGCCTTGACATAAAATGAATAGTTCTTTATGCGAAGTGTACAAGAAGTCTCCCTTATTCACTTTCTCTCTCATTTTGCCATATAAGCAGCACCCAAATCGTATTAGCAGCACAATCGTATTAACTATGACCCTGGTCTTTATAGCTCCTTCTTGTGTGTTGTTTGCTATCTTGTATATCTGGAAATTCTTAAGGAAACAGCCACCGTCTCCTTGTCTGATAATTTTTTTCCCTTTGCTGCTTAACAGGAACAGCAGCAGCTGCTGGGACAGCAGGCAGAAATGCACATTCCATCTGTTTTTCCCCTCTCTCTCCAAACAGCAAAGAACCTAGTCAGCAGCGTGTGAAAAGATGGGGCTTCTCCATGGATGAGGTGCTGAAGGACCCAGTAGGACGTGACCAATTCCTTCGTTTCCTGGAATCAGAATTCAGCTCAGAAAACCTCAGGTGAAACCATTTTTCACTTGAACTAAATAAACGGGGCTAATCATACTCTCTTGCATAGGTGAAATGCAGTGCTTGGTCTGTGCTGAACTTCTGAAAACAGCAATTTGAGTAATGCTGAGAATGGCAAGGTCTGGCCTGTAGCACTGCTACAAATACCTGCATTAGAATGATATAAGTAATCCCAGGAGCAGTGTTTAGCAGTCAGTGTTGTCAAGTATAACATTCATAGGCTTGCAAAGTTGAAATTTTGTGATGAGACATGACTTGTAAGTCCCTTAATGATACACAGAATTTGTGCATGTGTTTGTGGCAGGGGTCATGTGGAGAAAATATGGGGTGATGTTCATGTGGCCAGAAGCTGTTGCTTTCACTCAGCAAAACAGGTTTGCATTTGGTACTTCGAATTCTGGTGTCTCTTAACTATTTGAGAGCTTGACTCTCACTATATTAGAGTTCTCTTCTGTGGGTGTTCTAGGTGTATTCTGTCTTCCTTCACTGTGAAGAAGGTGAAACTTGTAGTATGAAACATGATGTAGATATTGATGTAGATACTGTGGCACAATTCTGCTGCTTCAACTACAGCAGGAAAAGGCAGCAGGAGTAAGTTGCCAATTTTGGTGGGCCAGCACTCAGTGGTGTTGGCATCAGGGCAAGCTGATGCCAAAGTCAAAGTCTGAATTGGTGGTATGGTGTCAGTGTGCACTCCTGTGCTCTCTTTGTTGCTATTAGCACAGGAGATGTCCTCTTCCAATAGGCCACAAAGGTATCTGGCAGATGCAGACAAAGTGCTCCCAGTTTTACTGTCAGACTCATACCTGCTCAAATGATGAAGAAATCTGCCACCAGCTGAACGTGCAGTTGGTCTGGTTTTGTGCCTTTGCTGGCTATGACAAGCTTTGGTGACGCTCTCAGTTTATACCAGTTCAGAACTTAATTGCACAGTCTTGAAATTTATGTTTTGTTAAACTTCCTTCACTTCAGTGCATTAGTAAAGCATATGAACAATTGTCGCTTTATTGCTGTCTGCTAGCTTGTGAAATTTCCCAGAAAGTGACTTTAAATGACATTGGAACTGACTGTCATATTTATCGTATTTGCTTGCCCAGGGAGAAATACAAAAAGCATGGCAGTAGCAAAACAGTGAAAAATCAATGTGCTTTTATGTTAGTGATTTTTAAGAACTTGAAAGTTATTTTTAAGATAAATGGGGAAGTGTTGGTAAATTACATAAATGAACTTGACACTGTATTGCTGAACAGGTATATTGCTGAACAGGTACTGAACTTGTATGTGCTTAATGACTGAACTTATGTATGTTGGTGCTCATTTGCAATGAAATTGTAGTGATGAAGTGCAAAATTAATATACTATATTGAAATGCTCTTCAAATGGGTTTCCTGAAATATATTTGGGGTTGCACTAATGAAATCTAGCAGGTTTTACCACTAGTGGGTGTCCCCCAGGTGCATCCTATTCAAACAGATCGTGAAATTTTCATTATTACAAAGCAAGCATTTACCTTTCTCAGTCAATCAGAGGTGCTCCTCCTGCGGATATGCATTCTTGTTGGTTATGAGAAAGCCTGTAGCAATGGGAAGTTGCAAATTAGTGGCTGTGATAGAGAGGTTAAATCCCACATCCTTTCTGGAAGACTCTGGTATCATCATTAGTTAATATTATATCATTACTTTCATTCTTATGGTGTCGTTATCATGCTACTGGCTAATGTGGCATCGTTGTGACCTAATACTGGATCAGTTTGGTAGACCTGCTTGCGGCTGTAAATAATAACCAACAGGACATGAAGGTAGAAGTATTCATAAACAAAGCTGGGACAGGATGGATTGTTAAATGCTAAGAAGCAAAAGGTGGCTCCCTAAGGTTCAGGTGTGGCAGAGAAAGCTCCTGAATCCTCATTAAGTGTATATGGTAGAAAGGAAATCAACTGCTGGATGCTTAAACATGCAAGCAGGATTTAAGTTAATGCTCACCATCAAGTGGAACCTGTCTCACCTAGGCTTGATAGCTTGATAGCACATGCTTTCTTCTGTCATCCAGTACCAAGGCTCCTTTTAGTGTGAGAGAAGAGGAGCTGAAGAGGAGTCAGTGGATCACCAGAGAAGGATTCATTTTAGCTTTAAGTGAAAACAAATCTAAAAGCAACTAAATTACACCATAAAGCTTTCTCATTTTCCAATATCTATATGCCTGAGACGAATCCAGGTGACAGTGTCTGCATGGTAGGCAGCTATGGATAAGTGAGATGCTTCCAGCCCAAACTCTGGGAAGCTGTGAGGAACTTTCTGAGGGTACACCATGTAACCCCTTGGTAGAGAAATTACTTTTGCAGGTGTCTGTTAAAGCCCCTCCTCCTACTAATGGTCTGGAGACACGGGAATTGTCACAGCAGGGATATGTTCTACCTTGGGAGCATCAGGTGAATCTTTGTTGGCAGTAGTCTGGCAGGCCACCATGCTATCCTAAGGACAGATCTGTGAAAGTGACCGCTGGAAAATCTAGAAATTCCTGGTGGTAGAAAGGAACTTCCATTATGTGTGCTCTGACTGTAACCCAGCAGTATAATAAAGGGACTAAATTCTGCCCCTGACCAAAATCCCAGGCTGGATGACAGTGAGGCATTTCCATGTCTTCCTTTAAAAAAAAAAAAAATCAGTGCTGCTGAGGGTCTCAAGAGAGGCACTGCCTGAGACAGAAGCAGATCAGCCTCCATCACCTCCCAGGTCTCCTTCCAACTGTGTTTCTGTGTTCTAATATACTTGCAGGATCATGTCCACCAGTCTCCTGGGCTTGGCTGAGCCCTGTAACTTATTTATTTACTGTCTGTCCATTATTTATGTGAGAGCAGGAAAGCCAGGTAGGTGGGTATTTTTCTCTTTTTTTTATTTTAACTCTTTTTCTTGTTCTCTTCTGTCTCTTTTGCTGTCTTTCATCTACAACTTGTTTTGCCTCCGTTGATTTTAGAAATACTCAAAATATAGCAATGACAAAACTTCAATTTAAAAAAAAAAAAGAGCCCACAGAGAGTTGTATATATTTTTCATGTCCTGCAAATCTCGTGAGACACCTCAAGATAGCAGAGATGTTCATCTAACCAGTAGATTGATTTTTTTCCCCAACTTCAGAGGGCATCAGCTGGAAGGAGACAGCTAGGTGGGAATGTGGGACATGCTAATTTTACCCAATGGGAAAGAAGACTGCACACCTGTTTATGGGTCTAAGTAGGGAACACTTGACACTTTATAGGAATGTGCTGTGGAGCTTGCAGTATAGCAGCATGGGCGTTTTGTGTGCTATTGTGAACACATGTTGCAAATGGATCTGGAAAATAATTTTATCTGCAGAAAGTGTTTCTATCTTACGTGATGCCTAATGGCCAAAACATGTTGCCAGATTTTTTTTTTCCTTTAAATTTCATCAGGAAATGAAATTTTGGGACGTTACAGAAAGCAGACCTATTAAGCAAAAAATACTTAAGCCAGTACTTCTACAAAGCAAAACCATTCACACTAAGTTGTTAACTGTTCTGGAGGCTGTCCCCGAGCCCTGCCTGCAGCCATTCCCAGCAGCCCCAGGTGCCACAGGTGATGCGGGTGCCCTGGCGCTGGTGCCCCAGGCGCAAGGACTGATCCCTGCTGGCCACCAGGCGGCACGGGCGCTCCACAGCCGAGGGAAAGCAGCGTGGCATGAAAAGATTTTCTTCTGCCTTTGCCTGCGAATCACACATACTCATCCTGGAGACCTGAGCCTGGTGGCTGCATCTCTCCGCTCCAGCTGTCACTTGTGAGCAGAGCTGCTTCTTGAGCTCTGTGTAGCTTTATTCACTTCTTTGGCAGGCAGCCGGATGCACACTGGGTGCTGCTTAACCGCAGAGAGTCACATCCTGTCCAAGAGAAGTAAGAGATGGCAGTGTGAGGACCTCTCTGCTCAGAAGTGGGGTGCCCAGCCTTGGGGGGGAGGAGGAGGGAGGACAGAGCAGGGGAGGCAGCAGGGCAGTGGGCGTGTTGTTCCCATTCCTGCTGCTCAGCACTGGCTAGGAATGCTGCAGCAGTGAAGGAGCAGAGCTGTGCTTGCCCCTAGTGCGTGGCCTCGCTGAGCCACCAGTCCCAGCATGTCTCTTTGAGGGCGGCTTTCTGCTGGCCTCAGCCACCCCATGCTTACCGCAGCCATAAAGCTATGCAAGAGTGTGAACACCCCCCACCCCCATCTGTGATGATGTGTGCTTATTTTGTACTTTCACTTACCCTCCCAGCTGTGCTGTTAAATTGATGGTTTTATCTTGTTGAAAGGAAATGAGAGCAAGGCTGTCTGGTGAAAGATGCAAGGTGGGCTGTGAGGCAAGAAGAGAGGAACATGGTCATGTTTCAAACCAAGAGTCACTCCAGAACTTTGCTGCCAACCAGGGGTGTCACATCCTGCCCTGGGATGATGTTACAGCACCATCTTCATGCTGACAGTCTCTCCTCTAATCATCTGTATTTTGTGTCTGATTCAATTTTGAAATTCATTTTTGTGTTGCACCATATCTCAGGAGCAGCCCCAGGGCTTCCCAGCAGCGTTTTTGCTGAGGGCATCTGCAAGCACCCCATAGGGGCAGAGCAGGCATCTGGAGCTCCAGGAGCTCCCTGTGCCATGAGGAGTCTGCATGGGATAAAGCACCATTACAGGATATCTCCCACGAGTGACAGCAAGTTAATTACATGCTGGATGAGGCTAGAATGCTTTATGTCTCTGACACTAGTTTAGGACACCGTATTATCAGCCTTCTCCAGATCTAACATTCTGTTTTGTAAAGGGCAGAGAACCTGCAATCAGGGCTGCCTCCCCCCCCACTGTAAGCAGTTCTGTGCTGCTCCTGCTCTCCTTGGGACGCTGCTGGGGACAACATGGGTGGACATTTCCTTCCTGCCCCACACAAAGTGACTGCCATGGGTCAGCTCCTGGGGGAAGGAGGAGGGAATGCAGGATCTCCTACTGGCTGTTCATAGGCCTGGGACCAGCTTGTGCTCCAGCATTTGCAGGACTGACTCAGGGAGTGTGTTTGCTCAAGAGCTATAAAATTCAAGGTAGCCTTTGTGTGTCTGCACCCTTCCTGAGCAGAAGGCTCTGCTGCTGCCTTATAAGTGTTCTAGAAATGCCATATGAAGCCCAACTTATGCACTGAATTAAGGATGGGTTTCTCATAGCAGATAATTTGCCTGGGAGTCATGGCTGTGGGGCTGGGTACCTCTCTTTGATGTTCTGTGACTTTCAGATATGAGCTCAAATGAACTACTTTGAAATTTCCACCAAGGCAAAAACCCCCTTTGCCTTGAAGAGGCCATTCTGCCTTGGGCATGAATTTGCAGTTGCTTGCAGTAGGAAGAGCTTGTTCTTGTTAGCATCAGGTTGGTTTGGTTGGGTGGTTTTCAGACTGAGCCAAATGATTATTAGAATGGATGGTGCTCCTGTGCTGGCAAACTGTCACTTCACACTGTGCCTGCTCCCAGCCCAGCTCCCAGGTGCTCAGGACAGAACATTTCCTGTCTAGGCAAGTATTCATCTTAAAATGTCCCAGCTACTCTGGGTTGATTAGCATCTTTCTTCTTCATGCCTTTTCTGCACTTGCAAGTTACCATCACGTTTGCAATTAAAAATTTTCAATTATTTTTTCCCAAACAGGCCCATTTCCTCTACTGCAAGTATGGGACAAGGCTAAATGGATTGGCAGCCTCCTTTGATGATGATCCCCTCTTGTTTCTGTGGCAGCACCAGGAAACCCTGCTGATAGCTAGCCCAGGGGCCAAAGCAGCGCAGGAGTCAAAGAGACTGCTGGCTTCTCCCTCCTCCCTTGCTGCCCGCAGGGTTTTGCTTTAGAATAGACTGCCTCATCTTCCTCCCAACATGAGGGAGCTTTTGCTTTAGTGCTAATAGGCAAGGCACCAATTAATAATTTGAGATGGGAAATGAGTCTTTCAGATAAAGTTCAATTCATTTATTTGGTAGTCTTCCATAATTAAAAGCGAGGGACACATGATTTTCAGTATTGTGCAAGCTCTTTCAGCTGCCCTGAACAAGCACTGACCTTGGCTCTCCCTGCAGAGCACAATGGCATGGGCATAACTGGGTTCTGTATTCATCCCTTCTCATGGCATCTGTCTGAATAATGGTCAGTTTACAAGTCTCAAAAATAAAAAGAAAAAAAGCAGACTTTTCTAAATGCCGGTGCCACAACTTAACCGTGGAAATGATATGAATATTAAGTTTGTTGTTCTGCATTTTGCATCTTCTACAGACAACAGATCCTGCAGGCAGAAATTACCAGCAGATTGCAGCGGGTGGTGGAAAGCAGTTCATGTTCCTCTTCCAGCTGCATGGGCTCTTGAGGTTTCCTGCTTGCTTGCCTAATGTCACACGTCTGCTGAGATGGTTTGAATAAGGATGTTTCGCTTCTTAAAGTCACTTTTCTGATCTTAACCACATTGTAATGATTTAGTGTAAAGTATATCACACCTTCCCCCAAAGTCATGCTAAATGGAGAGCCTTCTGCAAATTCAGCTGCCATCTGGGACTCTTCCCAGGCTTATCAACAAAATCTTATCTAAAGATAAAATCTTATCTCCTCTTATCTTAATAAGTCTCTCCCATTTTTATTTTTGCCCACTACAGATTTTGGTTGGCTGTCCAAGATCTCAAAAAACAACCTCTACAGGACGTGACCACCAGAGTGGAGGAAATCTGGCAAGAGTTTCTAGCTCCTGGGGCCCAGAGTGCTATCAACCTGGATTCCCACAGCTATGAGAAAACAAGCCAAAACGTCAAAGACCCAGGGAGATACACATATGAAGATGCACAGGTTTGTTTTTGATTTTATGGAACTGCTGCTAATAAAACTTTCAGTTTTACCATGATATTCTACTATCACATTGTCACTGCTCACTTGTAAGAAAAAGGAGAGAGGCACGGTTGGAAGTGACTTTGAGGGTATCTATTCAAGCTGGGCAAATGATATTTTCTTTGAATCTATCAACTATTACAGGCTAATGCTCCTCTGGGAACAAATGTTCTGAAATTTACAAGTCTGCAAGGCACAGCGAGCTGTAGCCAAGTCTCAGAGAAAGCAAAGATGAAAGATTGCCATAAAGTTCAGTTGGGCTCTCTGTACCCCCTGTCAACAGTCTGTCACATTTTCAGAATGGCTGATATCCTATAAAAATTCTTATTAATACACTTGCTTTATCATTTATTCATTTATAGCTGATTACATCTTCCCAACCAAACCCCAAACACAGCATCTCCTCAAACACAACTAGAAACTTGTCTCGCAGACAGTGCCTTAGGATAACGTTAGGACAGTAAGCAATGCAGTGAGCATAATCCTTCCCTCCTAGGGGCCCTGTATTTATCAGGGAAATTTTACTGATAAACTATATACAGAAAATGCCTTTAGGAAAATAGATAATCTGTGAAAAACTATTGCGAGCTAGGATAAAACAGCATAACCTTCTGAAAAAGTGAAAATGTCATTTTATAAAGGCTAAAAAAGGAGAAAGGAAGAATGAATCTTTTTGCAAATATTAACAGGGACACAATTAAAATATATTCTCCTTAAAATCATTTTTATCAAGAGCGTGTAGTAAAATCAACAACAAATGAAAAGAACCCTTGTTCTTGTATTTTCTTTAAATTGGTGTTCAAGGGCAGTTCTTCAAAATACTCTGCTAACAAAATATTTTCATCTCAGGGGAGATGTTGAGGACCACTTATACAAGGTTAGGCAATGAATTTTTCAAACCAGCATCAAATACTGTATTTTCCTGAATGCAATCCTGCTCCTTAGGGCCCACGTAGAAGGAATGTACGCAAAGTCTTAAGTGAATATCAGACAACATAAATGTTCTTTTTAAATCTGGGAAACAGTGCAGTATAAAGACATTCTAGCTAAAATGTATTTTATTTTGCTTTGCAGTTGTAGTGAACTAGAACTTCTGCAAATTTACATTGCCTGAAAAAAAATAAAAAGATGATGGTAAAATGCTGGCTAAAGAAGATAGGTGAAAAATGGAGGAATTAATTCAATTGATAAGTAGAAGAACAGAGAATAAGATGGATGTTTAGGCAATGAGAATTTAATCAGAAGAAGACACTGAGGATTTAGGTTTGAACCGATCAGTTTACAATGTAATTGCCGTTCAAAGGGTAGTTGATGAAATCAGGCCAGAGCTCTAGCAGTTAGACTGCAATTTTAGCTCCTTGGGTTAATTTTATTTCAGAGAATTTTTATGTTACTGCTGTCCTCAACTCATCTCTTTTGGTTCACTGAAACAGAAATACAAGGCAGAGGTAGGCTTTCAGGCCCAGCTATGGTCATCTTAGAGAAAGAGTCTGCCATAGTAGTGATGGGGAACCCTGGTCACCTTCTTGTGCATCATGGTGGGCTCTGGTAGCTCTGCAAAGGCCAAGCTAGCTGTTTCTGACTGCCTGAACAGATAGCTAAGAAGCAGAGATAAACCAGACATTGCCAGTATGCCTAATGCCCCTTTGGAAGCTGGCACAACATTGGCTGATACTGCCTCACCTGGAGAGGGACCACTCCTGTTCACACCTCCACTTCATGGCAGCCCACATAGGTGCCCCTGAGTCTCTCAGGTACCCTCCTGGTATCTCCGGCCATCAGCATTGCTGTTGCATCGCCTACTACACATTGCCACCTTGGGGACTCTGTTGTCTCACAGACCTGCAGCAGGCAATAGCCCAGCTGCCTTATCTTGGCATGCTGGCACCAGGAGGTTGAGCTCACACACATCCCACATTCCTAGAGATTCAACCAGATGCAAGTAGTCAAAACAGTCCACTGTGGGAGAGGAAATATAAGTGTTGTCCTGTCCTGTGTAGGCTTAGCATGGAAGAAAATAACTTAAATGTCCTTGTGAATAAGGGACAAGAAAATAATTACATTACTGAACGGGACATTCTTTGAATGCCTGCAATGCAGGGACACTAAGACTATGAGGAAAGAAAAGGGTTGGCTGGACTGAGAAAAGGAAATTGCAGCTTCTGAGGTGGAAAATATGACAAAGTGATGTTGCACTTTTGCCCGTGGGCAGACCTGGGAGACTCCCAGAATGTCGATTGTGTATAAAAAGCATTGAAAAGTAAAGCATTGGGAGGGAGAAGGTGCAGCAGAGCCCAGTGCACATCAGGCTAGTGACTGCCTGATAGCCGTGAGTTGATAACAAAGCATCATCTTTTATCAGGTGTTTAACAGTCTACAGGGATGTGGTGCTTTGTGTAACCTTGGCTTCCAGCCCCAGAGAGCTCTCCCAGATGCTGTACAACCATCAAGGCCAACACAGAAGGCAGTAGAGATAAATCTGGTCAGACAACTAGAAGAAAACAGGGAGAAAAAGGGCTCCTGACAAACATGCCTCTCATTTGAAACCTCTGCATCCCAAGGCCATTCAATGTATGAAGACAAATGGTCTCTGCATTCAAAAAAAAAGATACTGAAAATCTTAGCTCTAAGTATCCTCAAAGAGCTCATAATCTAACCTGACTTTAGGTGTGTTTATTACTGATGATAGAACTCACTCGTGCAGCACCTTCTGTTGATTTGGTGCTGGACTCCTCCAGAGGAGAGCCTACCAACAGAGCTGATTATTTTCTGCTCTTAAACAACTGTCCACTGGGTAAAACATTACAATTATCGAACCATTTTCACTTGGGAATGAAGCAGCTTTTAATACATGGGGCACCATAAGGAAAGGTCAGTTCATTTAAACAGCGAACTACTTAGTGGGATCGGTGCTCCCACTGGAGTTATCAGCATCACAGAACAACCCCTTTGGGGCCCTGCAATATGAGGCAGGCACAGCCAGCTTTGGAGAGTAGTCATTGGTCCTTCCAAATGGCCTCTTTTGGCTGATGAAGCTGCTGACAGCCAAACTAATTTGTCTAACATGAGAACTCAAAAGTTGTGAGTATGACAATTATGGCTACTCTGCACAACGCATATTTTTAGCAGTTTTTCCTTCACGTCAAGCATCACCTCCCCTCTCTAGAGTTGTCTTTCTACTCTCAGAAAGTCTTTACCCCCTGCCCCAGTCCCATCAATCCCATAGACCTTGGCATTGTGAGCTAGTACTGTAAGGATGTATTGTGTTGCCCAATATTAATGTTTGCTTGTAGGGGCATTTGTTGGTAAGCTTCAGAGCCAGGCATGCTAGGATAAGGTGAGCCATGTAGTTGTCTTTGCTATTACTTTTCTGCTTGCTTTGTTAATTTTTCTTCTTCTATAAATGAAGTAGAATTTTAGAATGACGTTCCTTTACCTGAATTATTAGCTGTTGTTTTTTCTGTGAAGATGATTCAGGGAAATTCAGTTCTAATCTGGGTTCTGTTAGGGATTTTGACTGTACTATACAGATCCTTAGCTAATTCTTGAGCAGATTAGACCACAGTGCTGAACCCTGTGCTGTTCGAACCAGAAATGTACCTGGCCCAGACTTGGGCCCAGTTCATGCTTTCCTCTGCCGGTGCTGGTAACAGACAGCTGAGCCCTTGCAGGATTTGTCAGTGGTCAGTCCTTAGTTTTCATTCTGGTGCCACCAAGAAGCTGTGAGTGTTGACATAAGGTGATGGGACCGTGCTGAATTAAAAAAAAAAACCTCCGAGTGAGAGAAAGGATCTCTTGGAAATGGAATGTCATTTTCTACCAAGAAGGGAAAATAAGGGGTGACCTTTCTTTTACTGACTTTGTTTTTTCAAGCATGCAGAGGATGTGAAAGCAAGCATATAAAGCAGCATATTCATGGTGCCTATTCACCAAGCATACAGAACTCCTTTTGTAGATGTTGAGCTAAATCACAACACGGAAGGAAAACATGAAAATCATTCGTTTCACACATCTGGATCACCTCTCACGTAAGAACTTGAGGAAAGCTTAGTGTTATTTTCTTTACGTTTCAACTACTCACCCCAGTTATCTGTATGTCTGTCAAGGATAGTAACTTGGGATAGAAAACCAAGCAGTTCTGGTTGGCAGTATGGGCAGTCAGAAGAGGACATGGAGCAGACCCAGGTACCCTGCCTTGAAGGGTGGCTCGAGAGGCCCCTAATGCTCAGCTCACACTATGAGGATTTGAAAGCACTGCTTTGCGGTATGTACAAAACATGTGCGTGCACATACACACACAATGCCCAGTCCTCTTGCAGGCCTTTGGCACCCTGAGGTTGTCTATGAAAAGTAGAAACTTCACAAGAATTTGGTCTTTATTTTCTTCTCCCCTTTTGGCTCTGATTCTGTGGGGCAGAAGGAGAAGATCTTCCCTTGTCATGCTTTCCAGTAGACGCAGCCTTCACCAGAAATCTCACTGTTGCTGAGTATTTGTTACACGTACAAACAAAAATGCAAGTTCCTTCCCTGTGGATTTCCCAGAACAGCTTACATCTAAACTGAATCTAAAACAAAGAGTCCCACAAATGCACCCAGAAGAGCAATTAGATGCTTGCAACAAAAATAGGAAAGTGATCGTGGAGGGTTATGCTGGTGTGTCTGATGCTGCACAAAGCAGGAAATGAAAGACTTGAAGCAGAGGTCAAAGTAAGAGCAGATAGTAAGATAGTAAGTGTTACAACTTTCCTGAGACTTCATCCTAAATGTATGTACATGCTACACATCTGAAAGTACTTTTTTTTTCTTTTTTTTTTTAAATCTTTGGCTTTTAATTTGTGATTTAATAGTCATGTTCTATGACAGAATGTCTGAACAAGCAACTTTTGTCTTTACCAGACATTTGTCTTTACCATCTCCTAACCCTAAAAAATACCTTTGAATGGATGGCATGGGAAAGCCTC